TCCACTGTGTACTATCCATGCTAACTATCCACTGTGTACTATCTATGCTAACTGTACACTGTAATAGACACCTTGCAACGTGAGGCAGGTGTTTCTTGGGAAGAAGGCCATTTTGTGTCTTGCTAGGAAACCAGCAAACATAGTTATTCACAGGCAACCACGAGTCAAATGGAGATGTAATGTCCTTTCTGGGGACATTACCCCACCCCAAGTCAGATTCTCAGTCCTATTATCCCCTTTCCCAGGTGGCCTCTCCGGACTGGTCCCTCCTGCATTCCCCACATCTTTTATCACACTGAAAACCAATGGCACACAGAAAACAACGGTTTACTTTATCATTTGTTTGCCTCTCTCTCAGCACCACAATGTAAGCTCCAAGACAGCAGGTTTTCTCTCGCTCCCTCTTTTTGTGGGGGGTTTGTTTCATATTATTTACAAGTAGAATTCTAGTAGCAGTAATGTGGCAGTCCAATAAAAGGCACTCAATTGATTAGTATCTGTTGAATGAATAAAATAACTCTAACTAATTATTAAAGAATCTTCCTCCTTGCTTACATGATTTTTCCCTATTACTACTTAAAAAAACAACAACCCTCCAATGTATCCCATTTATGATCTTATTAGGTACTTCTCTTACCTCCCAGTGGTATTATGATAACTAAGTGAGAAAGCACAAAAGAGGGAGAAGGGCAACTGCCATAGTGCCTGGCATAGAACTACACATTCTACGTTAAAAATCAGATGAATGGCTCACTTACCGCTTGTCTTAAACGTAAAAAGACTTGTGGATAAGTGTCCCCTGAAAGAGAGAGAATTGAGAATTTTTTGGGGGGGTGACCTTCACATCACACATAACATTCTCCTATGTGCCTTGGCAAAACATTTGCTTTTATTTTAATATTTAAAGAACCAAGGGTATTCCATGGCTGAAAATCAGACAACTGGACCCAAGTCCTCCCACTTCCCACAAAAAAAGAAAGGCCTTGTTTCTAAGCAGAGCCAAGACTTCTGAAATTCGCAGCCACAGCGTTCTCTACCAGGATCCGAAGCCTAGCTTCACACAGGACTGAGCAAATGTGCCCATGCCATCTTTTAACCGTTTTCTCATGACACAGAGGAGCTCTGTACAAGTCCACAAAAACCTGTAAGTCTCAGACCAAGGTCCAGCTTCCCAAGAGAGACTGCACTTCTGAAAGGAAACGGGCATCATGAGGGCAAATCTCAGGATTAGACTGAAGCGCTGCATGTGTGTTTCACAGGAAATGGGGCAGAATGGGAGTGGGTGAGGGGGGCAAGAAGGGGAGGTAAGTCATAAGACTTAATTTAAGGAAGTAGGAGAAACAAAATACTCAGTGGAAGACCTTGTCTTTTAGCACAACACTCATTAACGTAAGAGGATGAAATGTCTTAATTTTTCCCCTAAGCTAAGGTGACCAGATTTAAAGCGGAACACCACTGACCGGGGGTGGGGGGTGGGGAGGTGGGGATGGGGGTTCCTGATTAAAAATTTGGTCTATATGTACCAAATAGGCCGTTCCCTAGCTTGTCGTGCATTCTCTCCAAAAATCGGGACTTTTTTAAAACGCCAAAAATCGGGACTGTGCCGCCAAAAGCGGAACGTCTGGTCACCTTCCCGTAAGCACACCCCTAGCACAATTTCATTTTCTCAAAGTAGAACAGGATAAAAGAATCAAAGGACTTGCATAACATCCAGAAGAAACCAAAAGAAACAGAGTTGGCTGGTTCTGCAGCAAGGGTGGGAAAACGTCAGCCACGCTGTCCTGACTTGGGTGGCAGGAATAAAGACTGGTGTTTGGTGGGGGCAGGACTATAATGAATTGTGATGCTGGATATGCAACTCTTTTCAGAAGTGACTTAACCATGGAAGTACATGATGTGTGAATACTGGATCAAGAAAACGACTGAGTAAGAAAGCAAACTTCACCTGGGTTTTCACGGGTGAAGGAGAGAGGTGTTGCTTAGGGGGCACTGAGTTTATGTTAATGTGGTGGGATAATTTGGAAAAGGATTTCAATCATGGTTGTACAACATGAGGAGTATAATCAATGGCACTGTATTATGTGCGCGGAAGTCATGGAGTTGGAGAATGTTTTGTTGTGTGGATTTTTGCCACAGTTAGAAAAAATAATTACCACATATACTCGGGTATAAGCCGAGTTTTTCAGCACATTTTTAATGCAATTTTTGTGGTAAAATTAGGTGCCTCGGCTGATATTCAGGTCGGCTTACACTTGAGTATATACGGTACATGACTAACAATGAGTACAAGGAAGAAGAAAATGTTCTATAATTGAAGGTGGTGCTAATTGGACAACCCTTCATATGATTAAATTGTATGACATGTGGATGAAGTGCTAATAAAACTGTTTATAAAAAATGGCACCTTCACACTGAAAGGCTTGTAAATAAACGAAGCGAGGTATGTAACAGACACAAGTGGCCGGCACAACTATTTATTGTCAGGTCCCTACAGAGAGCAGGTGCTGACTTCTGCTCTCTGTTGTCCGGGGTACGCAACATGCTCTTGTCTTCCGGATAAGAACCAGGAATTCTGAAGAAAAGCAGGTTTCCATTCTGTATACTATTGTCTGCAGGACTGATCTTGGCTAAGAGGCAAGGTTCTTCAAAGGAGATCGTTAATGCCATATTTCTACTCGTTGCTTAATGGTCTCGTCATTTCTCCTGCCGTACTTTGTACTGCTATAGGACACCAGATGCCATGAAAATACATTCTTAGAACCTTCGTAGGGCAAGAGGGTGACTCATAATATTACTTCTGATTTATGTCAACATTTAATTTGTGTTCCAAGTATTTAAATTATCAAGAAGGCATCTGCATCCTCTAGTTGAAGATGAGTCATTCGGGTTATAACTTCTGATCTCTAAAATGAAGCACCATAAGGGTTTGGCTAACTCACTGACTCCCACTCCAGGCTGTTTGAACACTTAGAAAATGAAAGACATCATTGGTCCAACGACTGCCTTTTTGAAGAGCACGATAAAGTTGTGCCATGTTACCTGGACTCAGAAAATTAGCTCTCCAATGTCTATAAGGCCCTGAACATGCACAGATGTGATCCTTAGGTATATTCTGTAATGTTACCTCATGAAAACCATAAACAGTGACAAACGCAATATTGCCAAAGTCAAGCCAGTCCCAAGCCCACCATTATCCAGCATGCATACTTACACAACAGACGTGACGTTGTTAGCTAGAGAGCTTTCATAGTACGGGATACCTTTACTAATTACAACACTGATTTGGCCACCCAAAATGTTGGACACCACTCCTGCGTGCACACCAGCCATGCACAATGGGGACGACTGAAGGGAAAGAAGAAGAAATGGTTAGTTTGACATTTCCTTTTGGTAATTTATGAAACAGGACATTTATACTTCAAGATGCTAGTTAATCTGGGCAGTGTTCTCAGTAAGCAAGGGCCAGATTAACGCTGTAACAAAGGGAAATAATAAAACATACCTTACTAAAAAGAAAAAAAATTCATGGACAATTCAAGTGAAGAGAAAGACATACTCTCTCTACCCATACATAAAACCAATCTGGAGTTTAAAGAAAGCAGAAGGAGTATTGCAACTTTAAAATTAGTCTATGTCCAACTTACATCTCTATAGCCATGAGGAACTGTCCCAGATATCTCAGCAAAAGGAAGCAGGCAGCCAGCCGGGCAATACTTACTAAAAGAGGAAAGCAAGGATAAGAGTACAGAATCTATACTTTCTGGGGAAAGGACCAAAAAAACACCACATACACTGTTTATGTTCTAGTGCAAATAGCACTCGTGAGCCAGAAGCTTACATTTTCTTTAACGCTATGTGTAGTCTCCTATATGACTTCTATAGAGCCCTACTTGTGCAGTGAGGCAAGTATGAGGCTAATCGCAAGGGTCAGTGGTTTGAACCCACAGCCTGCTTCCGATGAGAAAGAAGCGACAATCTGCTTCCATAAAGATTGACAGCTCCAGATACCGTACGGAGCAGTTCTACGCTGCGTCATGGGAGCCGGGGCAGCTGGAACTGACTCTACGCTGGTGGCTTAGTATGTTAATAACACAACATATGCTATAACTTTTACTAAAAATCTAGAAGGTAAAATGTGGACATTTTTATTTAGTGCTTTTTGTTTCCCTCCATTTAGAGAATAGAATATTTTCCCTCAGATTTTACTTATTGGTTATAGTTTATTTTTCTTAATTCCAATAAATTCAGGACTTTAAAAAAGAACCACAGTATCACCTTAAGATCAACTACTTTTAAAATGCCCTTTCACACTTGGAAAAAAAACCTTCAATAAAAAATCTTTTTTAAAAAGCTTCATAGTAGTACACTGCAAGATATACTTTATCATTTTAACGGCATATAATGTTATAGTGTGTACATAAGTAGAAATCAATCCACTGGCAAACAGTAACAATAACTCTCTATTGGGCCATTTTAATTTGTATTTTAAAATGTCTGACATTAATTCATTTACCCGCCTACCCCCCATCTACCTACTCAGCACAATGAGTGGACTATCTATATACTGTTTTGTGTTTTTCTATATATTATTTATTAAGTGCTGTGCTAGGTTCTGGATTCCCAAAACTCAACTAAAGAGATTTGGCCCCATAGCAACCTGCACAATCTACGTATTATAAATAATAGAATCCAAGACCATAAGAGAGAATGGTATTAAACCTGAGATCCTGAGCACCAGTTTGCAGAAGCCAAGAATGGCAGTGAAAACAACATCATTTGCGGGGTCCCCACATGGGTTAAACCTCTAGTGAATCCCCTCTGACGGTAGCCCAGGGATGGGAATGGCTTTGTCATCAGAGAGAACTGTAGAGTGGATTACTGAAGATGTAGTGAAATGGGGCACCTTGTCTTTTGATCTCTTCTTGAATTCAATGTAGATTTGTTTCAGTTTTTAATATTTTCAGCTTTCTTTTCAATGAGATTTTTATCTGTTTTATCCTTGCTATTGGGTTTTTTGTTCTGTTTTGATTTTGTATGTTTTCTTGTATATGAAATCCCGAATAGGTAAATCTACAGAAGCGGTAACTGGGTTAATAGTTTTCTAGATTCATGACAGGGGAGGTTCGGGAGGGGGAGCAAAGGGAGCTAACAACTAGTACAAGAAAGAAGAAATGTCTTAAGATTGTGGTGATGGTTGTACAACCCTTTCTAATATGTCAATAAAACTGTTAAAAACTATACAACAAAAAGAAAGAAAGCCAATGGCCCTTGTTCTCATTGAGCCTACATTCCAGTAGGGGAGAAAGACACAACACCGACATACAAATAATTAAATTACACTTTAATATATTGTTATGAAGAGAACGGTTTCTATAATATAACGGAGGAATTTAACTCCATGAATAAATGTAAACAATGAATACATATAGTGTACATTAGGCAACGTTTTAAGTGCTTCAGGTAACACAAGGCCTCTACCTCACTGTGGTAATTATATAATTTGTGTCAACTTGAAGGTATTAAGAATGAACGGGGATGGAGCTCAGCCTCTCGATCAAGTAGCAGCTTGATTGGAGCATGATGGAGATAAATGGCTCTCACTGGAGGCTGGTCCTTCTCACTCTGCTTCACCTTCCTGTGGACAAGCCATGTGGAGTCACTCTGAGACCTGCGAGAGCCCTGGAGATGTTTCCACCGCCACTAGATCCACAAGACTTTGTACCCACTTGCCTGCAATCTTCCTGCATTTTGCATTCACTATATGTGCTGTGTGAGTCTAAAGAGAGATTTAAGACCTTATCGGACATATGGACTTGATCTAAACTAGGCTGGGATGTTGTTTTAATACACAATCACTCTTTAACATAAAGCTCATTCTTATACATGAGTGTCTCTTTTTCTAGTCAACCTGATCGAATGCACTCACTTTATAAAAAAGGAAACTGCTAAACAGAGAAGTTAAACACTGTGCCCAGCCTCACATCGCTGGCAAGTGGCAGATGGGCACCGTCCGTGATCTTAGGCTTGGTTCTGCACTGTCACAGTCAGGGGATAGGGCCCTGGGGTAGCACGTCTCAGCAGAGAGGAAACAGATGTAAGGAGAGGACGCACAGGGAAACACACCCATCAGGGGAAGTGCTGGCCTGCGAAGGTCTACAGCTGAAGATACTGACTGGACAAGGCTCCTTTGAGAGGAGCTCAGAGAGAGGGCAAGGGCCAGATCATGGGGAGGCCTTGAGGCCTATGGGAATGAGTCTGGATTATATTTCAAGTAAAATAGGAAGCCACAAAATGGGCTTGACCGTTTACACCCATAACTTGATTGATTTTTTTTTTTAACAACTCCAAATCGGCTTTATTTTATACAAAAAGGGCATATTTAGCAAAAGACACACTTGAGAAAAGAGTTGCTGTGGCCTAGGGGACAAGGCAGGGAGTGACCAGCCTTCCAGGCGCCTGCTGGGGACAAGGGGTTGGAAAGGAAGTAGTCCTTGGTGCTGGCTAGGTGCTGAGGGGGGAGGGGGCACAGGAAGGTGAAGGCTCCCCGTGGATCAGCACTGATGGCAGGTCATAGGGAGAGGGGATTCAGTGACCTGGCGGCTGAAAGTTGGTGGGCCCTTGGCCAGTGCAGCAGACCGGAGTGGGTTGGGCCCTGGTTCCTGGAGGGTGCCCACCCAGGGACAGAGGGCAGGAAGTGCGACTCGGGGTGGAGGCCAGGGAGAGGTCGGTGCTCTGCGGTGGCCGGCAAGGTCCAGGCGAGAAGGGGAGGGCGCTTCCATTACGTTCTGGCATTGCGCTCTGTCTCGGCCAGGCACTCTCTGACCAGGGCCCGGGCGTGGATGATGCCTCTCTTCAGGCGCTCCATAGCACTCTTGCTTCCTGCATAGGTGGGCCGGATCTCCTTGCCCATTTCCTCTATGACCCACAACAGGTCAGTGTAGGTGCTCTGGGAGCCCTGAGTGCCCGGTGGCTTCATAGCCTGCACATAGCCCATGGAGGGCGGTCCAAAGTCGTTAAACAGTGGCCTGAAAGGGGCATCGGCTCCCAGCCCGGAGCCTGACCGCAATGGGACGCTTCCGGCTGTAGGGACCGGGGTGCCAGGCCCAGGGGTACTGGAGCCGGGGGTGCTGCTGGGGGCGGGGGCGATGGGCTTGTAGGACATCCCCCACTCCTGGGTGCGGGCCCAACTTGATTGATTTTTAATACAGATTATTTTGGCTCCTGGGAAGGGACGAGGAAGAAGGAATCGTGAGTGTGATCCTGAGACACCATAAACCAGATCGTAAGAGTGTTCTAGCATGAAGGGATGGAATACCGGAGAAGGACAGCACAGGTGATGACGGGGATGCGTCCTCCCTCTCCAATGGCAGCCTGCCGTGAATACCAGGGATACCTCTGCTGAGTGCATCTCCTTTAAGTGCCCTATGGTAGTTATATAATCTGGAGCCAATTTGTGACGTGACAGGATTAAGAGTGAAGGGGTGGAGTCTAGTCTGTCAATCAGATCACAGCCAATGAGGCCTCTGTGTGGGCCTGGCCTTCTCCTGAGAAGTCTGGGAACTCCTGGATTTTCCTCCTTGGAGACAGGAGACACACTCTCTCCTCCTCACTCCCTTGGAGACTCTCTACTGACAAGACACATAGCACTATACTGATAGACTCTGTGCCCTGGGAGCTGGAGAAGCCACATGGACCTAACCTGATACAACCAGACCTCTGGAGCTGGAGAAGCCATGAAGAGACCCCTGTCAGCACTACGATGCTTACAATGCCACTAGATCCAGAAGACTTCCAACCCACTGACCTGCAATCTTTCTGCATTCGGTGTCATTGCATGTTGTTTTGTGAGTCTGAAGAGGGCTTTATAGATTGGTATCGGACATATGAGCTAATATTGGACTTAACGGACTTGATCTGGACTGGGCGGGGAAATTTTCTCAATACAGTGAATCCTCGCCACTTCGCGCTTCGACTTCCGCGGCTTCACGCTATCGCGGTTTTTGCGTAACAGCGCATGCTCTGTCATTAGTGCCACTGTACACGTTTGATGCCATAAATAATATAATAAATAATAAATGATAATTGTAACGTCCAAAATGTTTTACTGTATCTTCCCTTTTTCGTTTAATAAATTGGGTAATACGTGTGTAATGGTGACTAAAGGGTGTTTTTTCATGTCCTCTATGCTCTAACTACGAAAATATTTGATTTACAAATAAGGAATCCTACTTCGCGGAATTTCATTTATCACGGTAGGGTCTAGAACTGATTAACCGTGATAAACGAGGGTTCACTGTATTCAATATATAAACCTCTTTCTTATTCACATATGAATCCCTATGAATTTCTTTCTCTAGTCTACCCGGACTAACACATGCTGTTTGAGAAGGTGCCTTTCCCAGATAGAACCACCCTTAAAGATAAAACTCAGGTTTGTTGAAGGGTGAAAGGAAGTTGGACAGTCTATTAACTATAAGAATAATTTTGCTAAGGAGAGATGCCAGACAAAAGGTCTGAGTTCATGGTGGAGAGGGTGGAAGAGGGAAGCGATAAAGGTGAGCTGATGTCAAGGAGTTTGAGAAGAAAATGTTTTGAAACTAATTGTGGTCGCAATTGTACAACAGTGTTTGATGTGACTGAACTATGGAATGTTATTATATCTGTAAGAGCTCCCAATAAAGTGATTTAAAAAATGTTTTAATAGTTCTGAGCTCAAAACATGGAAAGAATCCAGAGTCACTTGAAACTGGAGTACAAAATGACAAACAACAATGGGTGAGATCGGCCAATGGGGCCAAGAGTTACCTTGAAGGGCTTCTTTCTCCTGTCCTAACTGGGTATCAATTGGCTACAGAGTCTAGAAAATCATTTGGCAGGAATATGAAGGGTAAGATAAAGCCAGCAAAATTCAGGAGCGGAAGCGCAAATAGAAATTTATCTTAGTCTCAACAGGAACAAGGGCAGGAAGCAAGAAAATAGTGATATAAATGCTATGTGGCAAAAAAAAAAAAAAGTAGGTCTCCTACATTTAATAGCCATTTTGTCAGACTTTGAAGAGCAACTAGCTTTTCTTTTAAAGCATATTAAAAGAGATACGTCCATTGTGGAGAAGATCCAAACGCTACAATTACAGCAAACTCTAAAACATGACAACTAAATGGCTGTAAGTGAGCTGTAATTCACTGCAGTCTTGGAACAATGATGATGTGCCAAAGAATACACGTTCATCTTAAGAGCATGCATAATGGACAAATAAACAGATGAGATGAGGACATTCGTTTCCTACGGCTCCTGCCTCAAAGCTAGCACCACAAAGTAACAGCTTCATTTTCTCACACGTCTGCACACTAGCCTGTCTGGAAGATCTGCCTTGCCTCTTTAGGTGATGGGTGATCCCCATAGGCCTTGGCTGTTGTGGCACAACAATCTCTGCCTCCATCTTCACCTGGCCTCCCCCTGTGTCTGCTGTTCTCTTGCCTTCCTCTTATAAAGATATCGGTCTGTGGATTTAGGGCCACCATCAATGCAGGATGATCTCATCTCAAGAACCTTAACTTAATTACATCTGCAAAGCCACTATTTCCAATAGGGTCATGTTCACAGGTACCACGGATAAGGGCTTGGACAATATTCTGGGGGGTAACACAATTTTACATAACAGAGTTATATTTAAGTAAATTAAAACAAAGTGAAGAAAGCCACAAATATGGTCATACCTGAACTCAGGTTCCAAAAAATTAGACGCAGTGTCCAGACAAGTAATTAGATCTAGGGGTGAGAGAGAAAGAAAAAACCTAATTAAATAATGCATAAATTTATCCTTTGTGGGTTCCACACAAGAGAAGAAGGCTAATTCTGTGAGTCTAAATAAACTGCTATGCAAAATGGGGTCCACAGACAGGACTAGGAGCATCAGTATCTTCTGGAAACTTATTAGAAAATCAGATTCTTAGAGTAACAGTAAGAACAATTTCAAAATGTTTGTGTGGTTACATAAGTAGGTATGTGTAAGTAAGCACACATATGAATATACACGTGTGCATGTGGAGGTTTCATGTAGGCAGATGAATATAAATGCTTGGGCTATATGTAAGTATTCATACAGAAAACAAGGGAGCACAGTTCTACATAATTCTCAGACATAACTAAATACCTTGTGGTATTAGGTTACTGGGTTTGAGGGCTTAGGAACACAGTCTTGTGAAGGGCCCTGGTTAATTGGCATATCATAGCTCATACAGATAGTGTTCTACATCCTTGTCTGGCGAGTAGCATTTGGGGTATCTTAAAAGCTTGCAAGGAGTCATCTAAGGTGCAACTTTCAGTCTCCACCTGTCTCAGCAAAAGAGTAAAGGGGATTCAATGAAGTCAACGGGACTAAGTCTACAACTGCAAAGACCTCCAACTTATTTGGCCTCTAAGTCACTGCCATCGAGTCCATGCTGACACAGTGACAGGGAAGAACTCCCTGTGTGGGTTTCTAAGACAGGAGTAGAAAGCTCTGTCTTCCACAGAGCAACTGGTGGTTTCGAACTACTAACCTAACACATCCTTGTTACCAACACACAATTATTCAGTATACCCCTGGAAATGTAAAACTTTTGTACTATAGCCCACAATCCTAAATAATGTATAGGTATTTGCTTTTGCAGGCCCCCAGGATCATTCCAGTGCCCTCGAGAGGGCTGTTTCACCTGCTTGGGGAAATACTAATCCATAGTCTGACCTCCTTGGAAACCAGAAGATCTACATGGTGCCCTGCTACCTTCTCCACCTGTTCAGACAAGAGACACAGGAAGATAGCCCTGACAAGGATGAGAGGGAAATGTAGAATGAAAGTGAAATTCCTTAAAAAAAAGGATACTCTGTACACTTGGAACTCAAAGTACTTTCTCAGGTGGTCACCTGTCAGCCAAAAGGCAGAGTGGCTCATAAAGCAAATCTTATCATGTGTGAGTACCGTGCTTCTCCACGCAATCATCTAGATGACCAAACAGCCAACATTCACCCTAGACCAGGATGAGCAGGTAAGAGAGGACAAGGATCATCACGGCTTAACAGAGACAGCACAACCAGGCTGGAACTACTGAGAATGCCGATACACGGCGATACGGGTAACCATATCACTGAATAATATGTACGGAACATATTAAATGTGAGCCTAATCTGACCAATTTCCCCAAAAGACACAATAAAATATTTAATTAAAAGTGAAGAAATTTACATTCTTGATTCTAACCAGACTTTTTGATCAGAATCTCCAAGTTACTCTAACACACACTACAGCTGGAGCATCACGCTCTGGCTCAGACCGGACTTTTACAGCGCAACGTTTTCTACGAAGAAACTGTCCGCGATTGCATGTTCTCACTGCGATGACGCATAGGAACCTTATAGGACAGAGCAGAACTGCCCTTATGGGTTTCCAGGACTGTAAATCTTTACTTAGCATATAAAGCCTCAGCTTTCTCCCATGGAAGGACTGGTGGGTTTGAAATGGTGACCCTGTGTATCACCCAAGGTGTAAACCACTCTGCCACCAGGGGTCCCCAAACCCCTGCAGTTCTACCCTGTCCTACAGGGTCAATGAGTTGGAACTGTAGTGAGAGACAAAAATGAACAAACTCAAAACAAGAAATAACCTGCCTCTAATTAAGACCTCGCTCACCGGCTGTGCAAAAGGTGGCTTTTGCTTAAAGCATTTCAATGGATTCTCTGCCCTTTGGATGAAAATAAAATTCCTCAGCATAGTCCACAAACTCATCTGCTCTAGGCTTGGCCTTCTTACCACACTGGGCTTCTGTCTGTTCCTTTGGCCCATGCCTTTTTGCCATGGAAGGTTTCTGTACTACCCATTAGCTGGCTGGCTCCTCAGAGCTCAGCTTGCCCACTACTTCCACTGGAGCTTCCCAAGCCAAACCATTAGTGCACAACAAAGATTTATGTTTTGTTTTTTAATGAATGACATTATGTCGCTGACATATGATATAGTCAAGTTACAACTAACCATATTCGATCCTATTTTTATTTTTTGGTTTGTTTTGGTTTGTCTTATCATTGGTTGCTGTTTTGGGGTACCACTGAATAGATTCCATTCATAGCGACCCTACACACAACAGAACGAACACTGCACACACACGACAAGTGTTCCTGTCCATGAGCCACTGTTGCAGCCATGACGTCAATCCGTCGCGTTGAGAGCTGTCCTTTTTTCCCTTCGCTAACCACCCCCATCATTAGTAATAGACACTAATTGAATGATGTGACTAATAGTTTACTGATGTTACCCTTTCTCAGATTATCATTCAAAGATGTTCAAACATTGGATTTATAAAGACGCTGAGAAGAAAAGAAATAAGGAAATTAAATTTTTTAAAAAGAGGGGTCTTCAACTAATGTCAGAACCAGCATGCAACTTCGTCAGCAGTGCAGGACTCTACTGAAAGTGGGAGACTGCATGTGTGTGTCCTCATAGCACCAGGTGTTAGTATATCTGCTCTGCTGTTGGAATAAGCGAGTCACACGGAACACTGTTTCACAACGTGAGGTTCCCTCTCTTCATCTTTGTATGCAGCACTGAGCATGGCCCAAGTTTCCAATGAAAGGTCTTGACTAGGGGAGGGGGAAGGTGAGGGGACAGAGGGGGAATCTATGGCAATGATGAACACATCAAAAGAAAAGTGGATAAAGAGAGACAGTGGTCAGTGTGAGACATGAAAAAAAAAAATAAATTATCAAGGGTTCATGAGGGAGGGGGGAAGGGGGGGAGGAGGTGAAACCAAGGGCTCAAGTAGAAACTGTTTTGAAAACGATGGCAATATATGTACAAATGTGCTTGACACAATGAATGGATGGATTGTGGTAAGAGCTGTAAGAGCCCCCGAGGACATGATTTTAAAAAGAAGAAAGTTCTCGACTACTGTATATGTGAAATTAACAACCGTTAGGTAGCAAGAAGCAGGGATGTCTAAGGGGCATGTGCCAATTTAAGCCCGAGCCAGGTGGGCCGTACACCTGGGTTGGCCCCAACTAGGCCACGTGGGCTTAATTCAGCCAATGGGGTCAACCAGTACCGTTGACCACGCCTCCCAGTCGAAGGCCCTAAATACAGGAGCCTTGAGACCACCTGGGCCTTTGGCTGCTTCTCCACCTTCTTCTCGCTGTGCCACAGTCCTTCTCTCGGGCCTCAGGCCACCACCTCAGGCCTCAAGTCCCGAGAGTTGCCCGTGTTCAGTGACTAAAACCTGACACAACTTCTTTCCTTTATACCAAGCCACTGGGATCACAAACCAGGCTTCGGCGTGAATTCTGTCCTGTGCGAAGCTAAGGCCGAGGTATTTCCCACTAGGGAAACCTAATACAACCACCACAGCAAGCACAGGATAATCAAACATTACAAATCTGAAGACATTTTAAGTTTATTATTCAAATGCCATGTGTCTTGAGAGAACTAGAACATAAATTACTTATGGTATTCCAGTAGGAAAGTGGTATTTTGCAAATTCTTATCTGGATTTGTATCCTCCATAAGGTCTAATGTAGGGCGGCATCTTGGACAGAAATTATGTGAAAGGTGGACACCAAGGAATAACTGTGAAGAATGCCGAATAGGTGCAATTTTAGATTGGTTAGGATGAGCCCCACCGAGATGGTAGCGTCTGGTTATAACTTAACTAGGCGAAGGAGTGAGGTATGTGGTTATCTAAGAATACCCACAGCCATCCAGTCGATTCCAACTCATTGCAATCCTACAGGGCTGAGGTGAAGTGCTCCTTAGGCATTCTGGGGCAGTGAATCTTTCCAGCAGCAAATAGCCCCATTTTTCTACAGAAGAGTCACCAGTGGGTTTGAAGCGCTAACCTTGTGGTTCACCAGTTCAGTGCGTATGCAGGAGTGCCAGCCACTAGGGCTAGGTAGAGGGAATTGTGTGTGCAATGGCCTTGAAGAGGGAGCATGCGCCACATGTCTGAACAGCAACAGCAACCAAGCTAGAAAGACGTGAAGAAGGTGAAGAAGAGAGCTGAGCCCAGACAAGTAACGCAGAGCCACATTCAATAAGCTCGCGGGGGTAAGAAAGTGGTGGGGCCTCCATTTAACAGGATCACACTGAGCATGGGTTAAGAGTAGATTTAAGAGGACAAAGGACAGAAACAAAAATCAGAAAGGCCATTTGTTGCCATAACTGAGACAAGCGGTGATGGTAACTTGAAAGGGGGGTGCTATCAATGGAAGTGTTGAAATATAGTCAGATTCTGATACTTGTGCACGTGCGTTCGGACAAGTAGACTGGATATGAAGTCTCACAGAAAAAGAGAAATGAAAGACAAAGTTTCTGGCCTGACCAGTCTGAAAGATGAACTTACTATATGAGCCCTTAGGATACTGATGATAATAAACACCTGTAAAGCACTCATGTCAGGTCTTCGAGACCCGGCTGGGCTCGTTTTAAGATGCCTAGAATCCCAGGAAGTCCTTGTGGGGCACAAATGGCCACACCCTGGACTAAGTGGTTGGCAGTTTGAACCCATCCAGAAGCATCGCAGATGCCGGATCGGACAGTCTGCTTCTGAAGAGCCACTCACTTTTATTGAATGCACATTAGATGCCAGATCCTTGAAACCCTGTGGAGTCAGCAGTTAGTTCTGCTCTGCCCACAGTCACTGTGAATGGGGAAAAGCCTTAGTGGCAACCCGATACCAGAAATCAAAGATATGCTCCACATGCAGGCTGGTATGTACTTCACTTCACTACATGCTTAACCTGTGCAG